GAACTGTATTAACTGACAGTGGTTTTCTGAAGTGTTCCTGAGCCCCTGTGGTGATATCCTTTACACATGGATGTTGGGTTTTGATGCACTGCCGCCTGAGCGATTGAAGGTCACGGGCATTCAATGTTGGTTTTCGGCCTTGCCGCTTACATGCAATGATTTCTCCAGATTCTCTGAAACTTTTGATGATATTATAGACCGTGGGTTCCGAAATCCCTGAATTGTTTGCACTTGTTCGTTGAAGAACATTGTCCTGAAACTGTTAGACTACTTTGCAGTTGTATCTTGGAGTTGTTCACAAAGTTGTTCACAAAGTTGTTCACCACGTCGCCCCACCTTTGCTTGACAATGACTGAACAATTCAGGTATGCTCCTTTTTTAGCCTGTTAGCCTGTTCACCCGTGGGATGTTCCAATGAGGTTTTTACTGAGCAGTCCTCAACTTTCTCAGGCATTTTTGCCACCTTTCCCAGCCTTATTGAAATGTGTTGCAGGCTAAAAAAAAAAAAAATCTAATTTAATGATTATTTCCTAAAAACAATAATGTTTATCAGTTTGAACATTAAATATCTTGTCTTTGTAGTATCCTCAATTTGCACATCATTGCATTGTCCATCTATCCATTATCTGAGCCGCTTATCCTCAGGATCGCGGGCGTGCTGGAGCCAATCCAAGCTGTCCTCGGCAGTAGGCGGGGTACGACCTGAACTGGTTACCAGACAATTGCCTATTGCAGGGGTGTCAAACTTACTGTCCGAGGGACGGAACCGGCCCCCAAGGAGGTTCGATCAGGCCCGCAGGATAATTTAGAAAGTGAAAAAATGCATAAGACACGGAATGAATATTCTTAATAAGGTGCAATTCATGGAGTATCCGCTAAGGGACACACTGTTTTGATCAGAGGAAAAGACAACATTGTTTTTATCAGAGAAGAAGACAACAGCAGCCTCAGTCTGTCACTGAGACAGACCCAACACAGCAGACGGCCAGACGCTATCAAGGACATGTGAATACTTTATTCTTTACACATATTATAGCACTCTCCTTAGTTTGTAAGGTGTAGGAAGGGATTAAATTTAGATTTTATATGCACATATGTAAATGGTTTAAAAAGTCCTTTCTTTATAAATCTTGTTTAATCTTCAAGTGCATTACTATATTTTTCAATATCAATTGTGAAAGTTTTGTGCCATTGTACAATTAGTGGGATCGGTTGCAACGCATATATATATATATATATATATATGATAAAAGTAAATTGCACATTTGTCTAAGGAAATCTAAGGTGCTTCATGAAATGTTTTGTAAAAGATATGTTCATTAAATTTCAACATTTTCCTAATGTTCTTGTGCTTCTTTAGACCAAAACAAAGGAAAGACATCTTATTTGGGTTATTTATGGCACAGTATGGTATCATTTGAATGGTCCGGCCCACTTGACATCTACCAAGGCCGTTTGTGGCCCACAATGTGAAATGAGTTTGACACCCCTGGCATATTGTATTGTGTGTGTATATGTGTGTCCTGACTACCAGTAGTTCAACTTTGTCCTCTGTAGAGGACATTTCTAAACCTAAATATGTCCCACCCAGTGCATCCAATTGCATTAACTCTTTTGTGCTCTAAAGAGTACATTCATTGCTTTCCAATGATACCAAATTTGTAGGGGGTGGGACTTTGTTACTTTGACTTCACATTACAAGAAAATGGCTTCCCTCAGTGCTGGCACTTTTAATGGGAAGAGGAAAAGTAAGTCTTTAATCCTTTTTATCAAACACATTTTGTCTTGAAATGCTGTTGGCATTTTATTTATAAGACTCTTATGAACACGTTAAAGTGTTGTTTGAGTTAAGTGTATTTGAGGCTAATATTCAAGTGTTTAAAAAATGTCCTCTGTAGTGGACATTTGAAGTTATTTCATCGATTTTGCTCTTTTTTTCCCAAATGACAAGAAAGGGAGTCATTCTCAGAAGCAGAGGGAATTTTACTGCGGGTTGTTGATGGAAACTCGGACAATGAGTTGTCTGATGAAGATGATATGATGCTGCTATGACACACCAAAACTGGACCCCTTAAGCAATACATTGATGACTCTGTGTTTGAAGAAATGGCCCTGTACACAAATCAGCGTGAAGTACTTGTGTCTGAAGCAACGTTAAATACCACACCTGAAGAACTGAAGACATTCTTTGGGAATTCTATTTACATGGGCTGTCTAGGATATCCAAACATTCAAATGTATTGGCCCTCAAGTACTAGAGTCAAAATTGTGGCGGAATCAATGACCAGAAATCGGTTTTACAAATTGATAAACTCCAAGCTCGTCAACGACCTTGATGTTTCAGATGAAGAAAAAACAAGTGATCTCTTGTGGAGAATCAGGCCTCTCTTGAGCAAAGTAAGACAAGGATGTCTGAGTCTGCCAAGAACAGGAAAAGTGTGCATTGACGAGCAAATGGTTCCTTTTACTGATTGATGCCCAATGCGCCAGTATGTACCCGGCAAATCAAACCCAACTGGACTGAAGGTATTTGTCTTGGCTGCACCAACTGGTCTAGTTTGGGATTTTGTGGTCTACCAAGGCAAGTCAACTTTCACAGCTACAGGAGAAAAGGGCATTGGGGAACAATGTGTTCTTCAATTGACATAGTCGGTTCCCCAAGGCACCCACCTGTTCTTTGGCAGGTACTTTACAACAATCAGCCTCCTTGACACCCTGATGACAAAAGGACTGACAGCGATTGGAACCCTCATGAATAACAGGGTTCCAGAGAACTGCAAGATCATAGGCGATAAGCTTTTCCTTTGTGTATTCCATGTATATGTAAATGTATATATATATTAGAGCTGTCAGTTTAGCGTGTTTTTATTGGCATTAATTTAAATGAATTTTAACGGGATTAAATTTTTTCTCGCGAGATTAACGCGGCAGACGTCACAGTGGACGTTACGTTGCTCTATAAATAAACCAGAAACAAAACAACAAGCGCGCTGCACGTGTCCACGCACGTTTCTTTTGTCACCCACGGCAGCGCGAGACACCGAAAACGGATACTTTAAGAGTTTATGAATGGAAAGTTTACTTTTAAAAAGTTGCCAGATTGTTCCACTAACAAGACCAAAGTTACCTGTATGTTTTGCAGTCGTAAACTGAGCTATCATCATAGCACGTCGAGTCTGAAATACCACTGAATGGCCAAGCACACAGCTGACGTGAGTACTCCGCCCCCTCATCTCAGACAGACAGCTATGTATAATTTCAAAGCTAAGAAAATGGATCACACGACGAAGAACAAATTTGCTGAAGGAGCAAGAAGGACCAACAGAATCAACATAGCCTGACTGCTGTGTTCAAAGCAAACTTGAGAAAAACGAAGTATGCAACCATGGCTTAAATCCACTATAGGCTGATTGCTAGTTTAGCTTAGATGGGCACTTTATAATGTTATATTGCTCTGTTTTGATTCCATAAAAAGAGCTGTTAAAGCAGCTGTTGTGGGACAAAATATTTTTTTCACTGTTGTTGATGGACAGTAATATTGTGTGAGAGATTATGTTTGAATAACTGCTCCAAGTGAAAAATGTTCATGTAAAATTGAAAATCGAAATTGTTATTTCAGTAAGTATTTGCATTTTGCACATAGGAAACTGATTCATGATTCCATGTTGAGAGCATTAAAATGGGGAAAAATAGGACAAAAAATATAAAAGCAAATTCAGAAATTATAAAAAATGCGTGAGTAATCATGATTAATTTTTAGTTAATTTGAGTTAATTATGACAGTTGCGTTTTTAATTAGATTAAATATTTTAATCGTTTGACAGCTCTAATAGAGAGAGAGAGAGAGACAGAGAGAGAGAGATTTTTTTTGTATATATGTATATTGTTGTTCATGATTGAGCAACCCAGCCGCTGGGGGGCAGTGCCCTCCCCTGGGGGTGCACTGGTCCCCAGTGCCGGTCCCAAGCCCGGAGAAATGGGGAGGGTACACACACACACACACACACACACACACACACACACATACATATACAGTGATCCCTCGCTACTTCGCGGTTCGTTTATTGCAGGTTCAGTGCATCGCGGATTTTTTCAAACAAAAAAAAATTTTTTTGTTTTTTTTAAATATACATGGAGTACAGTACTGTATATGTTGCTCTATGTGACTCGCTGTTGTTTTGCAGCTTATCGCGGACCTTTTGCGGACTTTATAAAAAAAAAAACAACATTTTTTTTTTACCTGTTTATGTTAATTGGACGCTACTTCGCGGATTTTCATTGATCGCGGGTGGTTTTGGTCCCCATTAACCGCGATAAATGAGGGATTACTGTATATACATACACATACCTATATACATATACATACACATACATATATACATATACATACACATAGATAGATAGATAGATAGATAGATAGATAGATAGATAGATAGAATTCACTTATGAGGTGTTTTTTCTAAAAATTGGCTAGACACGCCTATGTTTGAAAGCAATTTTAAAAAGGCAAACGGAGTTTTAAAATAAATAAAAGGGGGTGGACTATTTGATCATAAGTGGCTCATATGAGCCACTGACGTCACATCAGGATGTTCGCCAACTTCCACACGGTTGTTCAATAAATATGACGCATCACAAATAACAATTGAAGCCCTCTATTCATGTCACATTTTTGGGGAAAGGCAAGCTGTCAAGACATAAATCTATCAAGCTCTATCAAGATGAACTTCGACGGTTTCACTGAGAAGTGTAGTTCAGAGGTGTCCAAACTCGGTTTTTCGGATGTTTTCCATCTCTCCCTGCTGCAACACGCCTGATTCAAATAATATGGATAGCTATCTTACTTCTTCAGAGCTTACCGATGAGCTGATCCTTCGAATCAGGTGTGTTTCGGCAGGGAGAGATGGAAAACAAGCAGGACATTGGCCCTTGATAACCGAGCTTGGACACCCCTTGTGTATAGCTGCTGAAGAGATTTGAGTGTCAATTCATTTACTCACCCGTGCTCCAAAGTGATTCCCGGCGCTCAGTTTGGTTAATGAAGACCACAACACCGCTAATACAAGAAACGTAAGAATGAGAAGTAAACCCCGTAAAATAAATCCCAATTTCAATCTCATGTTGGAAGACCTTCCTATATAGCTGAGAATCGAGCACCTTTACACAAGACTATACGATGCTAATGTCCGTAGGTAGGTACTGGCCAAGTCTCATTTTCTTGAATTGTTAGGTATTACATCTTCAATCCTCGCCCTTCGGTTTACATGTTAGCTCCTCCCACCAAACATACAGGTTGTGTCCGAATGTGTACACTATTTCCTCAATGGCACACTATTAAGGGGTTACGCCATTTCGGTTGCTGTGGCGGAATAGTCGAGTCACGTGCACCCTTATGCTGCATTCGAGGAAAGTAGGACGATGGACTTCTTTCACTTCCGGCCGATGAAAGTCCACGACTGTACCTGTATCACGCTCCTTTGACCTGGGAGGTCGGAGTTTTAAAATCGGGAAAAAAAAACGACCGACTCCAATGTGGTGTCTTTCTGAAATGGCGACCCCCATCGAGACACAGACCGTGAATGGCAAAAAGTAATTTACAATGTTATTAACGTATGTGATGCTTTATTTATTCATTATTACATCAACTAAGTTATTCGTAATAACTTCACGTAACACAACGTGATTTGTACCGAATACGCGAAGACATGCCGTTATCACCCTCCCTGGAGTTAGTTGGCGAAAGGAATGGAATTATTTGAATAAATTCCCTTTTTTAGAAATTATGGAAATTATGAAAAAAAGGTTTCCTGGCGGTCAGAACATGTTGTGATGAACCAGAACAACACACAATTTATCGGAATCAGACATCGTTGTTGTTGACATTCGCCCCGAAGGCTTTGAGGTCGGAACTGGGACAATCCGAGTAAATTACGAGTAATTTTCCTTCCTTGAATGCAGCATTATCTCCTTACCATTCATTGACTTGGGCCATTCCCAACACCCACACTGCTTCTTACGGTCCTCATAGTAGTTGTACAAGTAGAGAAGTGCGTGTAATGTTCCAAAGTGCCGGTACAAGTGTACGAAAATTGCACAATTGGGGCAGTGTTTCATCATCGGCTTAAGCGTGGCGGCAACGGTTGTTGTTCTGGCAATTTTGCTGCTTAAAATTCAATTAAAACTTCGGTAAAGTAGTAACAAAGTAAAAACTTGGGCTCGGGCTTCCGGGCAATGGCAGGTATGGCTCCATTATTGAACTGCCCTATTTACGGCCGCTGCACGATTTGCGGCGCATGCGCAGAAGCTCGCTGAATACGTTGGGCCAAAATACAAAGGTAACCTTAAAACGTCGATGGAAATTAATTGTTTCAATTAATATTTACTCTTGAGAATATAGTTTTTGCTACAGGAAAGCAATTTTCACTTGCTAGTTTTGGTCAAATCTTCACTGAAGTGTGGGCAATATGATCGGACCGAGTGTTTTTTAGCAACACAAATTAAGAAAACCTTTAAGATAAGAAAGCCTTTATTTATCTCACAATGGAGAAATTCCCGATTTACAGCAGCAAAATTATGAAAGGGAGAAAGTAGAAGACAGAAGTATATAAATAAATATAAAATATAAATGTAAGCATATTAAAAATGGGTGAGTGGGGGTAGAGGTAAGATCGGGCCAAAAAAAATCCAGCCCGACCCGACCCGGCCCGCTGGTATTTAAACCCGACCTGGCCCGAGCCCGACCAATTAACTTGATTTGCAGGCTCGAGCCCGAAGCAAACCCGACATTTCCCATTTTATTTGTGATGACTCGGGAGGAGGAGGGGTGATTTGTGATAACAAATTAAAGCCTGTCTTTTGTCACGAAATCTAAGTTAAACAAGTCTGTATAAATATTTACATCTTTTAAACATGTATTTCTGTTTCTGCAAAGGGTACATTAACCGACAATTTTCCATCGTTGACGGAATTTTTTTTAAATAGTTGTAAGAAAAATTTAAGGCCGTCCGTCATTTTGACGGCTTGAAAATTGCGCCATTAACCACACCAGCAGTACGTCCTTAAGAATCTAGCGTGGCACTTTAAGAGAGAGAAGCAGAGAGACAAAGAAAAACAATGACAGCAGGATAATAGACAGAGACAGGATGGAGTTCTTTGAATTGTCATTGCAGGAGTTTAGAACAGTACGTGTTGTGATGAGGCGACTACAGTTTTTTTTTTTTTGCGAACCACGGTCTCTCGTGGCCAAAATTATTGACGGTTTCGAAACGAAAAAAAAAAAGTCAGCGAGAGAGAAGCCGGGCCCGACCCGACCCGAACCCAAAGCAATGATTGACATTTTAGGCCTGACCCTGGCCTCGGGCTCGGGCTCGGGCCGCCCGATCTTACCACTAAGTGGGGGTGAGTCCAGGTTTTCAGGACCGTCTATTCAATTATAAAGAATAACAGCCAGGGGGATACTATGTTATACTGTACTATGGAAATATCATAAAAACAACAGTATTATGTCCTTTCTCATTTGTGGATTGCTCAACAGTTTTAATATATTGTATGAAATCATTTGCAAACACAAAAATTAGGTCTCTGGTTAATATGTCGACATTTATGTATCTGCCATTTAGACAACAATGTAAAGAGATTAATAGTATATAGTAATGTGTTTTTTTTGTCACATATGAGTTGTTACTGAAACCAAACAATATCTTTTCAAATGTGGTTCTAAAACAGAAAAAAATGCAATTGTTTCCAAAATTTGATTGAAAATGATTAATCCCAAAACAAATGAAAAACACATCCATAGGGAATTCTTCACAGAAAGAGCAAACTGGGTTCATGTCTTTTATAAACCCCTGTAAAAAAAAAAAAAAAAAAAAAAAACTTGGTTAACATCTGTGAATTATACTTCTTTTTCTTTGTTGTTCATAAAATATTTAGCAGGGAGCTTCCAAATGTGTTTTTTTTTCAATTAAGGTTATTGACAACTTTTTCTCATGAAGAAATAACATTTGAAATAGAGGCCACTGTTTCTGAAAAAGTCTTCATAAATTATAGTGATTATGTTTCAGAGAAAACCATATCTTTCCAATGTAAGCTTTTGTTGGATCAGTCGGTGATAAATTAAGCCTCAAGTTGTAACCAGATAAACTTTTAACATAACACCAAGAGAAATAGAGTTTGGAACAGTATCAGAAACAGAAATAATGACATTATATTTTCAAAAAAATTCTTGGTGCGTCAAAAGTGAGCCATTCAGATTAACAACTGACCAACCAAAAGAATGTTATCCGAAAACTACCTGGGATAAAATAAAGATTTACGTTTGTATGCAATATCTTTGGTGTACCATAAATAATCTGTGTGGCGAGAAATTGTGTTTCTAAATTAATGACCAGGAGAGGAGCATCTGTTTGTAGAAATTAGAGCATTCATTGAGAAATTTTGAGATACTATAGTTATAAAATGAAACGAAGTTAAGGTCTCAAAGTTTAGAAGATGTAAAATTTAGGATAAAATTCGAGATGGAGCCTGGGTTGTTGAAGAATTGGTTTTACAAATTTATTTTGAAGGTATTGTTTTGAGTGTGAAAGTCCAAAAAGTTATGGCCAGCCCTATCATAGGAGTTCTTTATGACTGACTTTTTAATTTCATGGGTTTTGTTCTTCCAGACAAAATGAAAAAGCATTTTTTCCATATTGTGTGCCTTGTGTCTGACTGGCGGCCAGTTAAGGGTGTAGTCCGCCTTCTGCCCAAAGTCCACAGGGATAGGCTCCAGCAACCCCCGCGCAACACTGTTGGAGATAAGTGATGTTGAAAATGGAGGGATGGATAGATGGATGGATTTTGTTTATATCGTCCAAACTCTTTTTGGTTACATTGAGATACAAAGCATCACATGTAAATCGGGATAAACCTTCAGCTTTGGTTTCCAAAATTCTTCCTCTTAATGATAAACCACGCTGCAACCATTAGTTTAGTATTTTATGCCTTTTGTCAAGACCTAAATCAAAATTCAAGTTGCATCTGCCCCCCTCATCTGTAGAGATTATGATACCAAATAAGTAAGTCAGTAATAGATTCTAATACAGGTATTTAAATTTTTGATATAAATTAGATAACTAATGTAGAAGTAGCTCACTCAACACCTCAAGGGCCATAGATGATTTTGGCCTCGACATTAGCTTTTTAAAAGAGCACAAGAACACATTGATAGAGCCAATTACACACATGTTGAATGCATCTATTAAAAATTCTAGAATTAAAATTATTGTCTAATTCACATATTACCAGTGGTCTGAAAAATTATTGGAAATTGATTTTTAAAGTATTAATTGAACAAGCAACTTGGCTTTCGCTCCCATTATTCAACTGAAGACACTATCAGTTGTGTTCCTTGACCATAAAATTCTTTGAGCAAAATGAACAAAATTACATTTATTAGAACAAGCTTTAAATTGGATGAAATCATATCTCAATAACCAAAAACAGTGTGTGGTGGTGAATGACGTCAAATTAACCTCTCTTGAGTGACCAGTAGGGGTCCCGCAGGGCTCCATACTGTGACCAGTTCAATTTTCCATCCATCCATCCATTTTCCGATCCGCTTTATCCTCGCAAGGGTGCTAGAGCCTATCCCAGCTGTCTTCGGGCAGTAGGCGGGGGACACCCTGAATCGGTTGCCTGCCAGTCGCAGAGCACAGTTCAATTTTCACTCTATGTAAATGATATACCAGACCAATGCAAATATACGAATTGAAATGTATGCTGACGACGAAGTAGTATATACTCCTGCAAAAAAAAAAAAAAAAAAAAAAAAAAAAAGGAAAAGAAAAAAGTGTGCAAGAAGCTGGCTGCATTCTCACAGATGAACTCACCAAAGACTGGCTAGCAAAGTCCTGTCTATTTCTCGATACCCACACAAAAATAAATAAAGAATATGTGCATGATGTTCTTAAAAAAAAAAAAAAGATTATTATACTTCCAAATGCCGGTGTGTTTTTGAGGGGGCATGAACTTCACTTAGTTACAGAATTTAAGTCTCTGGGAGTCATTTTAGACTCTTTTCTGACCTTTAGAAATCATGTTAAAAAATAGTTCTCGAATAATTAAATTTAATTGATAAAATTTCAGAGATATTAGACCTTTATTAACAATAAAAGCAGTTTTACACCTTCTTTGGCTCAGCAACATACGGAGGATGGCAGAGACAAAAAGGAGTAAGGTCAAACGACATCTTTATTTCACCCACCCAAAAATAACCTCAAACAAACAGCCAAAAAGGACTGACCAAAAATAAAAAAGGTAGGGCCAACACTGGATCGACCGAAACGAATAATGTTTTTGGATTACAAAAATGTAGAGTAGGACAATGTGCGATAACAAAAATATTTATTAAAGAAAATCACACCAACAATGTATAAAGTGAAATCACAGGTCACAAGGAGCCACAGGAAAACAATGCAGGAAACAAACAATGCTTGCAAAGGCAAGGTTCAATAAAACACTGAGAATACACAAATGAAATATCAAAAGTCCAACAACACGAGAACATTGATGAAGAGCAATAATTGAAAAACAAAAATACAAACAAGGCTCGATGAACAAAACAAGAGTGACTATGAATAGTATTGAGAGGTCTCGAAAACCCCACTTTAAGCAAAACAAAGTCAATAATCAGACAAAGACCAGGCAGCTTGGCAGTCCTTAAGTACATGGCAAGACTTGATGGGAAAATACGGCACAGGTGCACCTCCTGGATGGAAACGCCCTTCACTCGAGCTGGACCTGAAACACAATCAAAACAGAACATGACAGGACCAACCCAAATCAAAGGTTGGCGAATTCAATGTTATGTTATGTCCACATAACCAAAGAAAAAGAAAAAAAAATAGATTTAGAAAAGGAAAACTGAATTAATGAGGCTACCGGTGGTCACCTGCCCAAACTAATACAATAAACGAAAACAAGAAAAGTTCCAGCATGCTAATCATGCATGAAACTGGGCGGCTTTGAAAAAAGCAGTTAGACAACAACAAAAACAACGTTTGACCTCACCACTAACAGTGTACAAGGTATGTGGTGCAATGTGTCATGTGTTGTCTTATTTGAAAGCAAATGCACCCCCTGCAGCACACTCTATCCATTATGTTGATCCTGATCGACCGGTAAATCGAGGACTGGTCCCAAGTAGATCCGAGGAGTGTAGAGGAGAAAAAAAACAACCAACCATTTGTGTGTCTTTGCACATGTTAGTAATATATTTTTTGTGTTAATGTACACTGCACCCTAATCATCCTATCAGTCTCATTTTCACAAAAAAATATTTAAAAAATAAAATAAAATAAATCAGATAAATCTTTAACTTACGGTGGCGCGTGACCTACGTCACCAAAAGTTGTTAGCACGCAGCAGTCTGCAATTGCAGCTTGTGATCAGAGCTGTTGCGCTATATCTTTTATCGTCATTATTCTCATTCAGAGTTTGCTTCGTGTACAATTCACCGAGGGCACGGGCAAAGAATAGGACTCTAGAGGGCCCAGGGAGGCACTTTAAAACGGTACGTGTGAGCTACGACAGTTAACAGGCTGCAAAAGTGCATCGCATGCCTCCATGTCAGGCTCATGGCGTTTGTGTGTGTGTGTGTGTGTGGGTGTGTGTGTGTGTGTGTGTGTGTGTGTGTGTGTGTGTGTGTGTGTGTGTGTGTGTGCATAAGGTAAGGGACGATCCCGGGAGGTTGGTTGATCGAAAAGTCGATCTTCGGTCCAAAAAGTTTGGGCACCCCTGCTCTATGCTCTTCCCAGAAGTGTTGATTGTTGCCAGGTGGAACACCAGGTACGCAGGAGAAGCGGGAGCTCCAACTAGTGGCAAGAGAAACTACACACAAACCCTCACTACCACATGTAATACCACCGGGAGTAATACCCAGGAGTGACACTCACGGTCACGATCCATCAGCACCGCGATAATCCACGGGCCAGGACATTATCCCGATTCAGGAATGTGAGACGGTTATGGTCAGTGTAAACAACAGAAGCCACCTGAGCACCACCAACATAGACCTCAAAATGCTTCAGTGCCAAAACAAGAGCTAGACTCTCTTTCTCAATTGTTGAACAGCAGCATTGGTGCCAATTCAACTTCTTAGAAAAGTCTGAGACAGGATGCTCTAATCCAGGGGTGCCCAACCAGTCAATCGTGATTGACCAGTAGCTGGTGGACTGGTCCTAAATCGATCGCGAGGGGTGGAGCAGGAAATGAAAAAAAAAATGTGTGTCTGTGTGCTTGTTATAAATATTCTATATTTTTGTGTCAGTGTACACAGCACCGAAAGCATCCAATCAGTTTCTCAAGAAAAGTATTTAAAAAATGTAATAAAATAAAAAAGCAGGTCACCTTTATCCTACGGTGGCACGTGACCTGCATCAGCAGAAGTTGTTAGTGGTCGGCAGTCTGCAATTGCAGCTTGCGATCAGAGCTCTTGCGAAATATCTTGGAATTTATCTTTTTTGTTTTTTTTAAATTCTCATTCAAAATTTGTTTAATCTGTAATTCACAAATGACATTGACAAAGAATGGGAATCTGGAGCACCAGGAGAAGTATTTCAAAACAGTATATGTGAGCTATGATAGTGAAGTTCCTGTTCTTAATACGCTGCAAAGGTTTGTCCCATGCCTCCACGTCACGTCTTTACTGAGGTAGGCAGTGATTTCCTTTTCAGACACTCTTGTATCTACTTTATCTTTCAGTTTTGTTCACGTTAGAGGCTGTTATGGCTGTTGCTCATCATGGCATACATGTGTGCGTATACACGCGTGTGCATGGGTGTGCATGGGTGCGCACGTGCGCATATGTGTTCACATGCTGTCACGGGTCGATCGCAGGAGGTTGGTTTCTTGAAAAGTAGATCTTCGGTCAAAAAAGGTTGGTGACACTGAGAAAGAGGAGCCAGAAAAGAAAGAATTGCCTCAGCTTTAGCTTGCACATTTGAACTAGCCATGACCAACCACCTTGCCCAAATAAGTCACTGTGTCTTGGCCAAAGTTCAGTGAAAGGTTTGCATCACGCAGCCTATCAAACACGATGTCAATCTGCTGGATATGATCCTCCCAATGTTGTGGTGCAGCACACGAGTCTTAGAGGGCACATCTGCAAACAGACAAAGATGAGACTCTATTAATATTATCACTTCTTGACATTGGGCTTTTGTAACGTGGAAAGTATTAATCAACATGAGCCAAACACCGCTGAACAACTGTAGCAGATCGACCCACATAATCATCGGCGTTATCAACAGACGAGGACAGGCCAATGCCAGTCTCTGTCGTATCGGTACTGAACAGCACGTTGCCTACTGGGGCTACGTTGACAATTTTGGCATTGTGCAACACCAAAACTGCATCACTTTTCTTGTCAACAGCCTGCAGCAAGACAGGTTCCCGATCCAAATCGGGTTTCGCCATGTTAATTTGGCATAACCTGTTACTCTACCTCCAGTCTGGAGTGGCAACAATGTAGTCACAACTGTTGAGTTTCTCTTTGACAACATAAGGCCCACTCTAATGTGGGCCTTATGAGCAGAAGAGCAGAACAGGCACTAAAACCAACACTTTATCACCTGGACTGAAGGAGCAACTTTTGGTGTTTTTGCAAACCAGCTTTTCATTTTTGTTTGACTGAACGACATATTTTGTTTTGCCAGTTCACACGCTCGTTGGAGTCTCAAGTGAGAGTTACAAAATCAAACAGGTTTTGCGGTTTGTCATCACCCAGCCATTTCTCTTTTAGGGCCTTCTCACAGTGTCTGCAAACACCAAGTCTGCTGGACTAAAGCCCAACCACTCCTGAGAAACTTTCCAAATGGCAAAGACGAGTATTTCATCCCAATCTTTGTCAGAGTCAAAGCAGTAAGTATGGAGCATGGATTTAAGGGTTTGATGGAACCGCTCAATAGCCCCTTCGCTTTCAGAGTGGTATGCACTCGACCAACAATGAGATATGTTTAGCTGTTTCATAGCGTACGTAAAAATCCGTGACATAAAGTTTGACCCGTGATCAGTTTGAACGATCTTAGGAAGACCGAACAGAGAAAAAAAAAAAAACGTGATGAGCGCTTTTACAACCGTTGCAGTACTTATCTTATGCAAATGGTACAGCTTCGGGATATCAAGTTGCAAACCACATAATTGTCAAAAGGAACATACTCCCACCCTTTGTCTTCGATAAATGGCCCAAACAGTCAACAATGACTCGTTCAAATGCTTCCTCCACAGCAGGGATTGGATAAAGGGGAAATGGAGAAATACTTTGATTCGGTTTTCCGAAAGAATCCTACTCTTGCCTTTTGGACATTGCGCATGTGACAGCACAGAGAGCAAATGCCTTTGGATACTTTTGCTTTGTCACGTTTGCGCGGTGGTGGTGGACCCCAAAAAGCAAGCACGCGGGAGGAGCAGGCTGTACTTGAAGTGTATTGATAAAACACAGAAAACTAAATCCAAAACAAACAAAGTCCTAAAAACAAAAAGAATCTCAAACAAACCCCAGGCTGTAGCTAAAACTAACAGTCAACCAAAACATGATCGAGAACATGACCGACAAACATGACAGCAACAGCAAACAAACAAACAAACAATGAGTGGTCGGGCGGGAGTCCGTTTATACAACTAATTGCGTAATGACTAACAGGTGTGCAGCTGCAGGGGGAGCCCTACAGTGCCACCTGTTGGTCCCAAATCGAATCATGACATGCTTCAGCCGTGTGTATCCTCTGGCAAAGGAACCACAGTCACTTCTGGATTCAGAAGCACCTTACCACCAGCCAGGTCATTTCCCCAAATAAAAGAAACCGGCAAGCCGCCTTGCTGCCCATCTCTTAAACTTGTCTTAAATCTCATTTCTATTCTTTGGCTTTTGACTCAGCACGACTCAGACTTGATTTTTAGTTTTAATGTTTTGGTGCTTTCTATTTTCTTTGTTATAAATTATTGTTTTATTGTTGTGTATATATTCATTCATTCATTCATTTTCCGAACCGCTTGATCCTCACTAGGGTCGCGGGGGGTGCTGGAGCCTATCCCAGCCGTCTCCGGGCAGTAGGCGGGGTACACCCTGAATCGGCCAGCCTTTTTGGCAGTAGCTATAAAAATGTTCGTTATCTTTTGTATTATCAGATCATGAAGCACTCTTCTCAATACTGTACTACTGACATAACCTTCTTCCTTGTTACTGTTTAATTTCATATTTTCTTTGATAATACTGTTTCTTAGCTCCTAATACATCTTAGACTTAATATAATATGATCTTATGACATTATTTTATGTAACACAATTCACATATCAGGAATTTTGTTTTATTTCACTTCATTGATATTTGTTTCTTGTATGAATTTTACTATTGTGAACAAAAATAATCCAATGATTATAATTGATTGTTTTAGTTAATTATCAGTAAATTAAATCATTGGTGTAAACTTATTGACTTTTTTTAACCTGAAAAAGTTAATTTGATTAATTTAACATATTATTGCGTAGCCTGCGATAACGGGTAGATTCTGACCGAATAGTATTTCGATAGGTTCCAGACACCTAATGCCTTTTTGAATATGTTTTGAAAAATTACCCTTTTTTTCTTTTAGCAATGAAACAATATAAGGGTATAATCATTCCGGAATAACTGGCTCTATGGATTAAGATAACCGTCAACAAATTACATTCGTTCACTTTTTACGATTTTTATAGTCATTGGTCCATCCCAGCGCCAGCGTACGTCACTGTCTTTAGAAAAGAATAGTTTTTCATGTCAACTACAAAATAAACATCCTTTCCTGATAGATTAAATCCCCCACTTGTGAATGGATCAGAAGCTTCCTGACAGATCGACCACAGACTGTGAGGGTGGGGCCCCACACATCTTCCACACTGACACTCAGCATGGGCTCCTCCCAGGGCGGTGTGCTGAGCCCCTTCCTATTTACACTGTACACACATGACTGTACACCCAAGTGTGACTCAAATGTCATCGTGAAATTCGCCGATGACACTACATTGGTGGGTCTCATTTCCAATGGCGATGAGACGGCGTATAGGGAGGAGGTACAGAGACTCGTAGGCTGGTGTTCATCAAACAATTTGCTACTGAACACCAGCAAAACAAAGGAGATGGTGATGGACTGGAGGAGGAAGAGAGCAGAACCCTCCCCACTACAGATGGGCGGTGTCTGTGTGGAGAAGGTCTCGACGTTCAAGTTCCTGGGTGTGCATGTAACAGACGACCTCAAATGGCATGCAAACACAGAGGCTTTGGTCGGGAAAGCGCAACAGAGGCTGCACTTCTTAAGATTGCTGAACAAATGCCAGACGGGCTCACACCTGCTACACACTTTCTACCGCTCCACAGTGGAGAGCGTATTGATGTACGGCATCACAGCGTGGTATGCCGGCTGTACGGCTAAGGACAGGGATGCTCTGCAAGGAGTCATAAAGGCAGCACAAAAAATCATCGGCTGCCCCCTGCCATCCCAGGATGACATCGCGAACTCAAGGGGGCTACAAAGGGCAAAGAAAATCCTGACTGATCCATCCCACCCTGGCAGGTGCCTCTTCAACCTCCTGCCCTTGGGCAGGAAATATAGAGTTATGAGAAGCCGGACAAACAGACACAGAAACAGTTTTTATCCCTGGGCAGTCAGGCTGCTGAATCTCAATTCCTCAAATCGTGTGCACGTGAATGTGTAGGCCTGGGGGTGTGCAATTTTACTAAATACCTCATGATATCTCTGACTGTATTTCAATTAGTCCGAAATAGTCCACATACTGTCATGCTAATCCCTGATTCATATCATTTTGTAAGACAACTTGGACTGTACCTTAACTAGTGCCGAATATCGAACATATTCTTATCACGATTTAAAACAAAAAAAAAATCCATTCCATATTTTTATATTTCGAGACGCACTTGGGGGAGGAGGCTCCTGCAGAATTTCGGTGTAACAAGTGTGCAATGACAATAAAGCATTCATTCATTCATTCATTCATATATATATCTATATATATATATATAAAAAATTGCATACAGTGGTTGTTGTTTTACAGTGCTCCCTGAATACAGTTGAGTTCATGGGAAATTGTGGACTAACGCCCACCACCACGCGTCCCTTGACAAGATTTCAGATGAAGAGCACGCAGTGGCACCCCAACAAACTGCATCCCAAACCCCCTGACTAAAGCCTCAGATTGAGCAGAAGACTTGTCAGAAAGTGGGAGGAGAGTCTGAATCCTTCTTTTTAGTCAAAATGAAACAGTTCTCGTTTGTATGGCCGCACTTTTTGCAATTAAAAACAAAAAGCTCTAACTCTCGCATCAGTGTCCTTACTGTTTCGTTGTTTAGTATCAAATCAATGTTAGGTTTCACTGGGTAATTACTAGCTTTGACAGGTTGAAGATTGTGTCCAAAAGAGGAACGATGACTTCCAAAAATGTTGTTGTGCAAAAGAGTATATTCATCAGCTAGAACCGCTGCATCAGACACTGTAGTAACCTTCTGTTCGTTAACATAGGTGTTTGGTAAGCAGTTCTTAAATTCCTCGACGAGTTTTAAATGGGGAAAATCTTCTAAATGTCTGACATTATTCGATTGACACCAGTGATTAAACAGGACTTCCTTTTCACAACCAAACCCGACAGTGGTAGCATTCTCAGCCTTGCTTAATTTATGAAATTTCTGCAAACCTATTACCACATAAAATATGAAAAATTTGAAATTTTTCTTTCGTGAATTTTCGAAGTGTTGAATGATATTGAAAAGGTGAATAGAATGAGCTGAATGTTTTAAATTTTAAACGGGAACGATGTCGAACCTCTTCATTGAATATCTCACTGGGATTGAATGAGAAATATTGGGGTGAAAACTGTTTAATTTTAAGTTTTAAGAATTTAAGTTTTTAAAATTTTAAGAAATCACAATTTTTGGAATGGGTAAAATAGTACACCAGCAGGCGGGGATTTTAGAATATATTGAAGTTGGATTGGGCGGCCCGGTGGTCGACTGGTTAGCGCGTAACTGCTAACCTCACAGTGCAGAGGTGTAGGTTCGATTCTGGCTCTGGCCTTACTTTATGGAGTTTGCATGTTCTCCCCGTTCAACAGTCAACCATGAGTCAGCCAAACGGGTTGATTCTATATGTCTGGTTCTAATGTGGGAGCACGTTGTAAAGTGTACATGCATATATTGGAAAAGAGGAGGGAATATTTCAAACACCCTCTACTTCGATGTTGCACCTCTGCTTCATAAACCCTTGACGACCATTTGGATGTGCATTCCTGCATTACACCAATTAGTCTGAACCATTTACATATGGTGAGGTATGAAAATCTGTTTGAAACCTCAGGGCTAGAGAGTTGATACTGCATGTCTTGACTGTCTGACCTATTTGCAAAGATAATGAAATGTGTGATTTGTCTTCAAAGATTTATTTCACCCATTCACTATCAGAACAAGTCATCTTTTCCACGTTTACCTCATGTGGCCAAGGCATTACAGCCCATCCATCCATCCATTTTCCACCGCTTATCCGGGGTCGGGCCGCGGGGGCAGCAGCTTTAGGAGGGAAGCCCAGACTTCCCTCTCCCCAGCCACTTCTTCGAGCTCTTCCTGGCGGATCCAGATGCGTTCCAATGCC